AGGTTTCCATTTGCTTTGTCTTTCATGCACTGCTTTTGCTTTTAAGAGTGTAAGCTTCAACCTAAGCTGATATGATGTTTCTGATGGGCCATATAGAGCGGTCTCGAGATCCCTGCACTATAACACCCCATAATATTCATATTATCCACACAGTCATTATGACAGATTGTAATACACTACAGGAAGTGTACGGGGCGATATGACTTCTATTGTTTCATTTAAAAAGCGGCCTTTGAACGCATTACTACATTTTCTGTTGTTCATTTCTGTTCCAATTTAGTTGCAGTCAAAACTGAACATTAAGGGACAGAACTGACTATCTGGGTGATGCGTTCTGTATCTGGACAGTACGGGGAAGAACAGCTGTGTAAAGACTTTCTTCAGGCTGTTCTCTGTCCTCTGAGCTCAGGGCAGGTGTACAGAGCTGATGAGCAGGCAGGCTAAAAAAGCTCACTAAATCACAGCACTCTCCTGAGCCTGCATTAGCAAGAACCAAGCAGAGCTGAAAGAAAGAAAGATAGCACAAGGCACAGCTCCTATGGAGGAAAAAAAACCCATGAGGTCAATGACCTCGCTCAGTCCCACACAGATTATCCAGCAGGAGCACATGCAGAGAAATGAGAGAGAGAGAGAGAGAGAGAAGAGAAGAGAGAGAGAGAGAGAGAGAGAGAGAGAGAGAGAGAGAGAGAGAGAGAGAGAGAGATTACCTTGCTGACCACCTTGCACTCCAAATCTCCTGAGTTATAATACTGAAGATGTGCACCTAATCCTAGCAGGTCACATAAAACAGCATAATAACAATGTAAACATGTAACCAGCTGAGACTGGATGGCCTGTGACTCAAATTACAATATATAGAGCTATAAAAAAAAAGAAAGAAAGAAATAATCAAATTTGCCCCCCTTTACCCCAGATGTAGTTGATCAACCCAGACATGTTTGGTGTCTTAAGTTTGCTTCTTTAGTTTTAGCACTAGAGCTACAAGGCTAATGTAGCTAACAAGTATTAAAAGCTTATATGCCACAAGTTAGCATGGTGCTAACTACATGCCTAACACATCACACACTTGTCTCCTACACACTTAAAAGTAATGGTTCTTCAAGGGCTTCTTTAGAAAAGAAAATATTTCTATATAGAACCATTAACACTCAAAGAACTCTTTGCATAATTAAAGGGTTCATTGCATCATGAAAGGGTTCTTCAGATTGATGAAGAAATATGCTACAGATGGTTCTTTATAAAACTTTTTTGCAAATGGTTTTATATAGCACCAAAAAGGGTTCTATACAGCACCAAAAAGCTTGTTACAATAAAAGAACCATGCCATATAGAACCACTTACAGCACATTCTCCATCAATCTAAAGAACCCTTTAATCATGCAAAGGGTTCTTTGTGTGTTCATGGCTCTATACAGAAACATTTTCTTTACTAAAGAACCCTTGAAGAACCATCTTTTTAAGGTGTGTACAGAGCTCTAATTATTTTACTCTGATTGGCTCAGATAAATAAAGGTTCTCCAATAGAACTTTATCAGCACCTGCTACACTTCTGTAATACACAAATCACACAAAATAAAAATAATAAATAAAATAATAAATAAATAAATAAATACTACTACTGCTACTACTACTACTACTAATAATAATAATAATAACAATAATCATAAATAATCATCAATTAAAGCGTTCTCTGCATCATGAAAGCATTCTTGCAGTGTCCATGGTTCTATATAGAACCATTTTCTTTACTAAAAGAAACTTTGAAGGACCATCATGTTTAAGCGTGTACCATTTTATCTCTATCATGTACTATTTTATAGACAAGAAATGCAGTTAGAACAATGCTAATTGGTGGGGTATAAGTGTCCATTACTTGTTAGCTACATTAGCCTTAAATCTCCAGAGAAAAACTTAAGAAGGAAACTTCAGACACCAAACACCTCTTGGCTGAAAAGTACACTTGATTTATGTCTTTTATTATCATTCATTAATTTTTTTGGTCAGACTTTTACTAGCGGGCTTTTGTGACGCATTGCAGAGCTATCAGCCTTTAGTGTCGAGTTCAGTGAGCTTTAGTGGAGCAGAGTTCAGAGAAAACAGCGGTTTAAATTCACACTTCCTGGTATGTGACATGCTACATGGTTTTTACAAGTATCATTAACTAAATGGAGCATAAAACACAGATAAGGATGTTTCAGACGTGTTTAGGTCGACCTCTAACCGCAGGCTGATATGAACATTTTGGGGTGATGCTGATACCAACTAGCAATTCCGATAACTTATAATAATGGTTGATTTATATTTATATTTCAGTTTTTAAATGTTATATTCCAAAGGTTTTAGGTAAACAGCGATTTGACTGATATTAGGGAATCAGAATAATAATGTATTATTTTTATTTTATTAGGTAAATAATGTGATGCAGGTAAAAGTACTCACGCTGTATTCTTCTGCTTTCTGCTGCTACACCTGCACTAAAATGTCACAGCAAAATTATACATAAGTAACTGTGCTGAACAACCAGTTGCCTCTTACTTTCAACATAGTGTTTGAATAAGGTTATGTGAATAAGGTTATTCATTCAAATAATGTCATTCATATTGTGACCTATATTACCCACACAGTGCAACATACAGGCACTGGACAATTTGGCTGTAAAGGAATCAGAATCAGCATAAAAATTCATAATCAGTCCTTCCCTGTAACTGTAAGTTGTCAACTGTGACACAAAAACTACATCAAAACTGTAATGTCCACTGCAGAACTGACTAAAATTAAACAGAATTACTGAGAATAAACTCTTCTGTGTTTTGTCTTTAAGGAAAGCCGGAGCCGACCTGAGCTCAGTCTACTGTTGGGTTAATTTTATTCTACTCCTATCAAATACCTCCTATCACACACACACACCCTTCTGGGTTGCAGGCGGAGCTGGAGCCTATCCAAGCAGTCACTGGGCAGAGGGCGGGAAACACCCTGGACAGGTCGCCAGTTCACCACAGTACAGACACACAGACATATACATTCACACACTCACACCTAGGGGCAATTTAGTGTGTCCAGTCAGCCTGACTGCATGTCTTTGGACTGTGGGAGGAAACCAGAGCACCCAGAGGAAACCGGAGCCTCCGTAAGAAACCCACACAGACATGAGGATAACATGCAAACTGCACGCAGAAAAGACGCCGGTCGCCCAGGCAGAGAATCAAACCCAGGCCCGTCTTGCTGTGAGGCGACAGCGCTACACCTACTATTAGTGTTCATTATAATACTAATTCATTATAAACTAAAAATGAAACTTAATAAAAGTTACTACAACTAAACTACAACTAACTAAAACTTACTTTTCAGAAAATAAAAACCAAACTATAAACTATAAAACTATCAATGCATCTTTAAAGCTACAAAAAACAATATAAAACTGGAATCAAAAACCAAAGTGAAAAACATAATAAAAAATAAAAACAAATTAAAATGTAAAAACTATAATAACCAGGTTGCATTGGGATCACCAGGGGATTATGAGTTTGAATCACAAAAAATAAAAAAGTAAAACCAAAAAACTTAAAATATTGCTGGAGCAAAACTTTATTATTTTATGCTTTATTTATTACTTATTTTATGCTGTATTTTTTCAAGCATGTTAAATTTAGCAAATAAAAAGAAATCGTGCACCAAAATTAACAGAAAAATACCACATTTTAGTTCTCTGTAAGGAATAAAACTTTTCAGAGAGTGTTCAAACTTTTGCATATGACAGTATATCAGTCAGGCTCTACCTCTGACAAATGAAAAGGAACTTATTACGTTAATGCCACTGTTTGTGATGAACTATCGTTTTAATGCTGTAGTCCTGAACTACATTAACTGTGGTCTGTAATTCATCATGCAGCAGTAGTGAAAATAGTCATAAATACGAAGTGACTATTCTGTGCAGGAAGCATGGCTCTGACTTCATGTGGAAAGAGCGACAACCAAGAAATGAGTCTCTCTGAGACAAGCAGACCGCACACACAGTCCTGAGAGACGTTTAGCCTTGACGCAGGCAAAAGAGCTAAATCCAGCATCACCTTCAGTCTTTATAAGCAGCATTGTATGTCAGCAGATCACTGAGCCTGGCCCCCACCCCCACAGGTAGAGACCCTGTTTAGTGTCAGTGACACCAAGACAAGAGCAATCCCACTGGAGTCACTGCAGCACCTAGAAAAGAACTACATCCAAACACCAGCATCCCTCAGGGAGCAGAGCCCATGACGACAGATCACCACAGAGCACCTGCTCCAACCTGGGAGCTCATACCCTCACTGAGGACCACAGGCTGTGGGGTTTACTGCATCACAGCTGAAGCAGCTCACGCTGTAGGTTAGTGCTGTCGTGATCACCAAATGCAAGAAAAACAGTGATTAAAATTTGCCTTCTTTGTGAATCAGCAGCTGGTATTTCTCCTGCTGCTCTTTAACAGTAAGAAACAGAGAGACACACTCATTTTGGCATAATAAAATGGTTAATATGTAAACAATGTCATTCAGAGTGGTGAATGCTTCATTCTAGAGAGTGTCAGAATTGTCCACAGTGGTGGTGATAGGAACCAAATATCTGAAGAGCTCAGTACCTCTAAAATCTGCTTTACAGAGAGGCTCTTTACACTTTGCATTAACGTGTTTAATGTCTGGATCGTATCTGGATAATCTGGCCAGATTCCATTTACACTTTTCACAAAAATGCATCTCCTAGTTCCTACCACTACCAGTGTAAAACCTGAGTCTCTGCAATCATCCATTTCAGACCAAACCACTCTGAATGACTGTTTACATCTCAAACACTGAATTGTGCTGAAAACTTGGTGGAATTTCCCTTTAAACTTGCTGCTTTAACACAAACTGTCTGATTGTCCCCCTTTGCTGAACTAATAAAGGACGATAGTAGCTTAGATAATGAGTACACAGTTTAATTTCACAGTTTTCGCTGCAGCCACCAGAGCTGAAGGACGTAGATGGTCTTACCTGTAGTGCACATGTGTAACTGTAGGTGGTCTATAGCCAAAGATCCAGGTCTGAATGTCCATGGGTTTAGCGTTGGGGTATGCTATGGTCACGTCCACCACCCACTGCAGTCCTTTAGGCTTGGCAACTACACAGGGACACACAGTGGTTTGAAAAAGTTTAAAAGAAGACTGAAAAACATGACAAATTGGGCAAACAAGCGTTACTGAAGAGTACAGTTCAACTTATAATAGACAGACAAACTTCAATATCAAAGGCAGCCAGAAGTTTAAAGGGTTTGACATTTATGCGGAAACATTTACAGTGAGAATAAGAGAAAAAAATGAAAGCAGAAAACAGCCTCTGTGTCTTCAGCAAAACAGACTACTGAGCAAAATTGAGACACCAAAGATCTAAGGAACGCTCCAGCATTTTTGCCCTAATCTACACACAATTATCACGGACAATAATTTAGATACAAATACCTGTAAAAGAACAGAAATCCTGTTGACTTGAAGCTCAGTTACATTACAAGAAAATGGGCAGTTCCAGACTTGTGAATAAATGTTTGAAATATGTGACTATATGATGCGAATTCAAACCTACAGCTGGTCCACTCAGAGTTCAGGTGTTGGGATGAAACAGACAAAGACAATGTCTTAATATACAATTATATAATAATATAATTATTCATTCTATATCATATAACTAATTATCCAACTTTCCAACACTGGCGTAACAGTCACTTCCTTGTATCACTTTCAACAATCATTTTCCTAGTATCCATGGCAATCAGCAGGGAGTCGGAAAACTGGCCACACCATTACGCTGCTAAAGGATCTATCTATGCAGGCTCCGCCCACAAACACATTCTTTTATAACAGCTGCTGAGTTGAACAAGATGGACAAGCAAAACTGGATAAGAATTTTAAAACTGTAATGGAATTTTCCCAGTTTAAAATGCCACGTTCCCGAGCTGGACTGTGTTGCTGTAGCGAACTGAAACTAAGCAGGTTCCTATTCAAAATGCCAATGAAGTCTACATATTGCCAAATGAAGCAGGACAAGAACCAGGAGAGTTCGGTCCTGGTCCTGGAGATCTACCACTCTGGAGAGTTCAGATCCAGCACACCTGGTTCTAATGTTCAGATGCTCCTAGTGGCCTCCATTACCTGGATCAGGTGTGTTAGATTATGGGTGGAGCTAAACTCTTAATGGCGGTAGATCTCCAAGACCAGGATTGGGCACCTCTGGGAGGTATTTTATAAAGCAGGATTTATGAGTTAGGCAGATATCTAAAGTCCAATATTGAGGATGATCCAAGAGGAATGTCCCTCAGCTCTTTTCATAGAACACAGAGCAAAGATAGGATCATTACTACATACTATTCCCCAAAAAACTAGACCAGCTGCTAAAATAATAAAAACATACAGACCTCCAGTGGATTAGGACTAGTTGTTTAGGGAACAGTATAACATATATATGTAACATATATAAATATTTATTAGGGGTGCGGGAAAAAAATCGATTCTTAGATACATCGCGATGCGGACGTGAACGATTCTGAATCGATTTACAAACGTCAAAAATTGATTTTCTAAATACTTAATTTATAACGTAATGTTGACGGAACGCAAAAGGCGGAACTTGGAAGTGCGGAAGTGCAGCGCCCAGACAGTCTGTGGCGGCACACAACAAAAACACAACTGGATGAGTGAGAAATCCGACCGGCTCCCTCTGCATTAAAGCCAGGTTAGATCAGGAGTCACAACACAAATGATAAGAAGAGACATTTTGACCTTTCAACAAAAATCAAACCACCTTGGGAGCCGCAACGTTTAATGTCCAGTGTGTCTCAGTATGTGATGATGTCCTAGATTTAGACTAAACAATATAAATGAAAACGCAGATTTACTTCGCTCTGCTTTAAGCTTTAGCTCAACTATAGCCGCTTTCCTCCCATCTCCGCCAGAAAACTTTTCCTCAGAAGTAGATCAGTTAAATGTCTCAACGTTCTACTGTTTTACGAGGCTGAAAGCGCTTCTTATTCTCCAGCTTCTTGTTTGAATTTACCCGTTCCACCTTAAATTCGAACTGAGGCGCTGAATGTAAATGCGGCACCATTTAAGGTGGAACGGGAGAATTTGAAAGAGAAGCGACTTCAGCTTCGCCACGTTTTAGTGACTCCATACCTGGAGTCTTGTTAAGAAAATGAGTTTGGAGTTGTGGACTAGAGCTACTTTGACTGATAAAAACCACTCAAACTTTGAGTTTGCTCTGCACAAGAAGGATACGCGTATGTGAGCCATGCCTCGCCAAAAAGAGCTTTCAGAGGATCTACGATCAAAAATTGTTGATTTACATAAAGCTGGAAATGGTTACAAAGTGATTTCAAAAGACTTTAGAAATTCACCAGTCTACAGTAAGGCAAACAATCTACAAATGGAGACAATTTGGGACCGTGGCTACTCTGCCAAGAAGTGGGCGCCTAGTCAAAATGACCCCAAGAGCACAACGGAGACTCATCAATGAGGTAAAGAAACAACCCCGAGTGACAGCCAAAGATTTGAAGGTGTCACTGGTGCAGGCTAACATCTGTGTTCATGAGTCTACAGTCTGAAAAACCTTGAACAAGCAGGGTGTCTATGGCAGGACACCACGAAGGAAGCCACTGCTTACTAAAAAGAACATGCTGCATGCCTGAAGTTTGCAAAAGAGCACACTGACACTCCACAACGGTACTGGCAAAATGTTTTGTGGACAGAAACTAAGACTGAACTATTTGGAAAGAACACGCAGCGCTACATCTGGCGTAAAAAAGGCACTGCACATCACATGAAAATATCATCCCAATCGTAAAGTATGGTGGAGGGAACATCATGATTTGGGCCTGCTCTGCTACATCAGGGCCTGGCCAGCTTACAATCATTGAGGGGAAGATGAATTCCCAACTGTATCAAAAAATTCTACAGGATAATGTGAGTGTCTGTACGTCAGCTGAAACTCTGTAGAAGTTGGGTGATGCAACAGGACAATGACCCAAAACACTGGAGCCACAACAGAATGGCTTATGAAAAACAATCCGCCTTTTGGAGTGGCCAAGTCAGAGCCCAGATATCAACCCTATAGAAATGCTATGGATTGACTTGAAGACACATGAGGCGTCCAAGGAACACGACAGAGCTAAAGCAGTTCTGCCAGGAAGAATGGGCTAAAAAATTCTCCTGAACGATGTGCAGGTCTGATCCGCAGCTACAGGAAGCACCTGGTTGAGGTTATTGCTGCCAAGGGCGGGTCAACCAGCTATTAATTCCAAGGGTTCACTTACTTTTTCCACTATCACTTTGAATGTTGAATGAGTGTGTGCAGTAAAGACCTGCAAGATCATATTTTTTTGTGTTATTATTTTAGGCACATTATATTTGTCAATACACAACTTGGATGAGGATCAGATCACAGTTTTATGACAAATTAATGCAGAAAAGCATAAAATTCCAAAAGATTCACTGTGTGTATGTATATATGATAAATTAATAATCAATGATTACTGTATTATCATCACATCATTTACATTAATTTTGCCAAGTTATCTGCTTTGAGATTTGATCTTCACTTTTAAGCACAAAGAACTCCGGACATTAATTTTATTAGAACTTCATTCTTGATGTTCTACAGTTTCTCAGTCAGTTTAGAATCTTGTACAGATCTGTTCATCATTCTGGATCAGACACATTTCTACATTTTACAGCTTCATACTGATTTTCTGAAAGCTGTGAAGTTGTTTAAGATGAGCAGATTAGAATCATTTTATACAATTCTCTGCAACCAAACTGGATTAATTTATTCGAAAACACTGATTCCTGACCTTTGAACAGAGACTGACAGGATTCAGCAAGCTTCCATTACACACTTGCATGCAAAAGTTTTGCCACCCCTGTTCAAATGACCTGATGTTGATGTTGTTGAGTGAAAATAAGTTAACAGGTCCTCTACAGAGAACACACTCCTGCACATCTTAATGCACAATGAATTTTTATTTGCTGAATTTAACATTTTAGGAGAAAAAAAAATAAAACATATAAAACAATATGTTTTCTTTCTAATAGTTTTAATAGTTTAATAGATTAATAATCTCACATTGTGCACTAAAAGTTGCAGGAAAAATCCCATATTTAAGTGTGTTCACTTAGAAAATCAACAAAGCATGTAATTTAACCAGGGGTGTTCAAACTTTTGCATATGACTGCTTAACAAACTCTCTGTGCAGGTCCGCTTTCTCTTCACCTTATTGCACAGTGTTCAGCCTTCTGTGTGAACTTTAATTTTATTATGGCAGTCAGTGTTTTTTTTGGCTGTATTTATTTCTGTCACTCCTTTTCCTGTCAATAATAACCCAAGCTAAAAATGCTGGATGTGCTTTTTCCACCTCCAGGGCAGGAATCACTCAGAAACTCTGAATTATAAGTGAGAAGGCTAAAGCCTTTGGACCTACTGCTCCATTTCCTGATAGTTTAATAAAAAAAAATGTGCGTGCTACATGTGCTAATACGGTTTCCCCCACACTTATAACCCATGATAGAAGTCAATTAACCTTGGCTTTGATTGATGGCTATATGAAAAAAGTGAATGAGTTTTACCCACTTCATGTATTTAGGGCTGGTCTCCAGACACAAGATTACTGTGCAGCTGCAAAGCCACCAGTGGGAATTAAAAGGCCTCCATGCAATTTCGTTCCTATACATTTTTGTCCAACACTGGTCATTTTCAGCATGTTTTCTTGGTGTAGGGGTCGACAACATGCGGCCCTTTTACTGCCCTGTTGCGGCTCCACAGCAGAAGCAGATTTTTAGGTAAAAATAAAAATCCTCCTTTGCAGTAAAATAAAGCTCTGCTGATCATTCTAACACAGCTTTAACAATACATGGTCTTAAACGCTGGGGTTAATGTGTATCTGCTAATTCACTCTTTAACCCTGAAGTTTGGCACGCAGACTGCTGGTCACCATAGCAATGCAGATAGTCTCACCCAGCTAGTCGCTAACGAAAAGACAAAGAGAAAGATTTACGATGAACATTGATAATTTGGAGATTAATGAACTTTTATAATCACTCCAGCTTGTTTTCATATATGTTTAATCTGCAACAAGAA